ACTCCCCGTTAGTCTACAATGTAGACGTTTCGATCTACGTGTAACCACCTGCATGTTGATATGTAGTTTTTTTTATATATTTCCGCGTGTTGTTGTTGGACGTTGGTACCTGGTGATGCCAGACAAGATCGACCCGCTGCCAAACAACGCGCTCCACGCCAGACAGACCCCAACGGTCCATACTCACGCCAATTGTCGGCCGTTGTGTACGATTTCGTTGCACGCACTGGGCCTACAGAAGAAGGCAATCGTTTTTCACTTTACGGCGGCCATCAAAACAACGGGGCTGTCGGGACTGTCGGGACTGTCGGGACTGTCGGGTTCGCCCAGTGGTTTACCTTGACCGTCTGACGCCCACAAGAAGCACTGAGCAGACGAGCAGACACCGCTCACCGGTAGCAGATTGCTGTAGACTATGCGGCACATAACAGCGCTTGCGTAGATGTGTAGATACCTGTTTTCGACAAGAAAATGAATAGAGTCTGAATGCAAGCGCCATAAGGAGCTGTACGAGGTTTCGTGTGAACGCTCACGCCACTCGCCGCCTCTTTGAACTTTGAACACACGCTCACATTTGTTTTACATTTATTTTTGTTCCGACTGCGTCTTTTCCACAATAATTTTTCCCGCGCCTTGATCGTGTGCGAGATCGCACGTGGGGTATCCGAGATACCCGCCCACCCTCTTGTCTCTCGCCCTCCAGCTCACACACTCCATCTTGTCGCCCTATCTGCACTCCTGACCAGCGCAAGCTACCGTCAACCCCCAAAACGCACTGTGAGTATGATGCGGTTGTTCGACGTAGCGGCAGCCTGTGTAAGTGTAGATGGTACCTGGTACGTGTGTGTATTGTTTTCGTTCTACATGTACATCCTGACCGCTCCTTCTGTCAACCCGATTCTGTTCTGTACAAGAAGAGAACGTTTAAACAATTGTTTCCACCGGCAAGAGTGTGTGTGTGATGTTGGGTATTCGTTCTATGATACTTCATAGAATGTATCGAGTGGAAGGCGGTGCCAGCCATGATCGCCTCGCCCAAAAAGGGGAAAGAACCCAACTATGTACTGCTGTACACTGCATAGTCTGAGAACGCCGAGTTTTTCTTCACAACAAACTCTGCCCCTAGTAAAGGGAGAACTCGTGAAGACTGTCGGAGAAATACACTGCGCTGTGTCAATTACCCCGAGCACTGTTCAGCCCTCCCCCGATGCCTGGAAGTTTGCCCCGTCTCGTGATTACTTGGGTCATCTTTCGATCGCCTTACGTACGATGGTCTTTCCTATTCAGGTGTTCGGTTCTCAGCAATCTCAAGGTCAAGATGCATCTCCTTTCACTGGCGCTACCGATGATCCTTCTTGGGGTCGCCATTGGTAAGATATATAAAGATGTAGCGTGCACACAAAGATCGGATTGATGGTCGTCCTCTCAATGTCCTAACAGCATCATGGATGTTTTCTCGGGACTGAAGAGGTGCGTGCTCGTTACCTCAGCACCTAGAATAAACCGCTCCGAGATCTTCTCGGCGATAGAGTCGGGCACCCCGCGCTCACGGCAAAAGGGCGGGGTTCGCCAATGGTCTTGGGGAATCTTATTCGCTCACGAGTGTGTCCAAAATTGGTGGTTTCAGGGTTCTTGGGTTGTGCATGAGATCTCCGGACCCCGTATTCATGCCAAGATTCTCAACGAGTGTGTCCTAAATTGGTGGTTTCAGAGTTCTTGGGTTGTGCATGAGATCTCCGGACCCCATAATCATGCCAAGGTTCTCAACGACTGTCGACCACCAGCAGCAGGGCAGCGCCAGAGGCAGGTTGCTCGCCACTCGGTTGGCGGTTTCAGAGTTCTTGCGTTGTGCATGAGATCTCCGGACCCCACGATCATGCCAAGAATCTCAACGACTGTCGACCACCACCAGCAGGGAAGCGCCAGAGACAGGTTTCTCGCCACTCGGAGGAGCTGCGTCGATTCTCGAAGGGAGCTGTTGTATTCTACCCGTAGCCATGACTACCGATAAATGTGTCCAACCTCGGACAAATGGGTCTAACTTGTAGCAGCAACGCAATGATCACTGTGGTCCCTCATCCACTTGACTATAAAATGTTCTAATCTTCGAAGGATCAAAGGAAGCGCCAGAGGCCCGGGGCATAACCTCTCATGTAGGCAAAACAACTGCCCACCTCCGATTCTACGTACAGCCATCCCCCGAGGGTAGTAGCATATTTGTTTGTCCCTCGTGGGCCTTTGCACATGGGGCGTCTTGACAAAGGGTCTCTGCTCAGTTCGTGAGATCCGCGTCGCCCGATTGATGCCGGAACAGGTCAGTCCGATGACCCATCTTACCTCGGGTGCTTCTCCGACCCCGCTGGCAACCGCGTCTTCGAGATCTCGGATTCTACCTCCGCTATGACCGCAGAGGCGAGTGACCGATCGATGGGTGGAAACACGATACATAACATGTTGTGCGCGTGTGTTTGGTTGCTTCGCGTTGTCAGCGGGAAGGTTATAGGCGAGATGGATTGAGCTCTTCGCGTTTCCTGCTTGCGGCGGTTGTTGTTGCTGATGCTCTGCGGTATTCGCGCAGGATTTGTCCACCCTCTCGAAATAGCTGCCAGTGACCCACCACCCCAGCGCTGCCATATTTCCATCTGCGAACGTCACCCCTCCCCTGTGCGGACTTTCGACCGCCTCGCGTGCATACACACGACCCTTCGACGGCAGGCCTGTTCCGAGCTCTGCCCTGACTCGGCTTTCTATGGCACCCAGTACTCGACAGAGGTAAGAATGTCAGATTCGAAACTATCTGCGTCAGGCACTGATCAACGGTGGGGTGGCGTGCGAGAGATCGCGACAGCAAGGTTTAGATGTGGTGCTGATACCGGGGATGGACGTTGCGGACCCACGTGCATGATTACATGGTCGCACTTGGGCGCCATGCCTTCTCTATACCTGCAAACAACGACAGGGAGGTCTCAACGTTTCAGCCGTTGCACTTTGGCTTCCCTAAGCCGTCGGGTTTGGTAGGTCCCCGCTATGCGTCTCTTGGCTGGTTGTTCGCTTCTTGATATGCTAACCTTCCCTTTGCGCCACACAACATCAGAGGTCAGCGTTTCTTCCTTTGGCATGACCATATCGGACTGTATAGACTGGATGAAAACACACACACACACACAAGTTGAAACCGTTGCCTCACGATCGGGACCACTCCGTAGACGCGTCCTTCGTGAATCCAGATTTATTTCATTTGATACTTTTCTCGGCCGCTGCTCAGCGGCACCGCCACCGCCAAGCATACCCTTCTCCGCTCACTCCGCATAGCACAGAGCGCCGCATGCCACTCTCGAACCCACGACACCATCTCACACCACCCTTTGCACCCAAAACCTTTCGCCGTTTCCCAAACACAGTGCTGGTGCGGTGACAACGTCGGATACGCCGACAACGGCGACGGCGTCTGCGACATGGCCTGCTCCGGCAACTCTGATGAGATATGCGGCGGATCCTACGCCCTCTCCGTATACTCGAACGACCCCAATTACCTTGGGTGCTGGAGCGATCCCCACACGGCGGACACGCGGCTGTTTTCCATCCAGATCGATTCATCGGAGGACATGACTACTGCGGTGAGGGGCCAGCGCACGTAGAAAAGCGATTGTTCTTTTACAACCACGCGCGGTGTAGTTGAGTTTGGGTTTCATCTCTCCGCAATGTCGGCACTGTCCGGTGGTGTTGTTCCATGTTTTGAAGCCAAGCCGTATTTGGTACGTGAAGAGCAACGTGGGGTTGCATTGTTGCCCACCAGCATGGCCGAAGAGGCCAGGAAATATCAATCACCTTGCATGCTATGGCCGGGGATGGAGATAGAGAAAATGTTGACCATCTTCCTATCCGGGAGGTAGACGAGTCGAGTCGCCATCTCGAAACCACTCGCGGCATACAATATTGATAACGAGGTTCATACAACGAAAGAGAAGTTTCATTGCCGTGCACAAGACTGAGCGGAAGCTGCAGAGCGCGTGAAGAGACGGAAGGACAGCAGTGGCGACCCAACATGCTGTAGGTGGCGGCAGACCGGCATTTTCCCGCTCTCCTACAATCGGTTTTCTTCGAAATTCGGGTAACACGTTCGGGGATATTCGGGCTCTCGTCGAGGAGTTGGTCAAGTGCGTATCAGTTGGGGACTTCGCCTGTTTCGGTGCTTCTTCTGTGGCGAGATGATGTACGTTCCGTGTGGTTCTCTTGCGAGCGTGTCGCCTAGAAACCGAAATGTCACACGACGCCATTCGCAAGAAGAACCATATGCCGGGGTTATCAATACGTCTCTCTTCAGTGCCCACGGCGACGACAGCGCAACTGTCAAGTCGACGTCACAACACAATACGAATTGCATGCAGACGTCGACGCACGTACCTTGTATCATCATGTTGACTTGGCCTGTGCGCCACTACTGATGGGCACATAGATGCTCACTCAGCTCGGAAAACACCGCCATACGACGCCCTTCTGTTTCGCCACACTGCAGGTCTGTGAAGGTCTCTGCGCCGACTATCCGTTGTACGGGACGCAGTATTCCACTGAGGTGAGAAGAGAGATACACCAGTAGTGTGAACTTCTCGGACGCCTGACGCTTGGAGAGAACAAGATGGCTGAAACGGAGAACGTGCACGCACACGTATGACAGAAACCGACGCAATCATGCCGTACGCATCTTTGCGAAGACGAAACGTACTTGTCCTTTCTCTCTCTGCCTCGGCCATATCTGCTCGTATGTGGCACGCGTTGTTTTCTCGAGACAGTGCTGGTGCGATGACGGGACGGCCGACTATGAGCAGAACGGTCCGGCCGTCTGCGACTTCGACTGTGTTGGATCCTCCGACGGCGAGTTCTGCGGCGGGTATGACGCCATGTCTATCCGCCAACACGAAGTAGAGAACCCCTACTACCTTGGATGTTTCTACGACCCGCCCGACAACCACATCGGCGAGCCTGCGGCTTCCTCTAGTGACATGACCGCGGAGGTGAGCAACAAGCAAGCCTGGGGTCGTGGGTTGAGCTATTGAGGTGGTCATGCGCCGCTGTCACAAGGCGTGGTATTGTTGCGGATTCATGGTATGTCGTTGCTCACCCGTTGTCACGAAGCGTTCACGGATCATCGTCGGACCAACACGCCACCGCCGCCCACCACACTTCGATGTCGCTCTCCGTTCGCTTGGCTTCCTCACATCGACAATTGGCTTCGCCCCCACGTGAAAAACCGACCCAGGTCTGCTCGGAGCTCTGCAGCGCGTACCAGTATTACGGAACGCAGCACTCGACCGAGGTGAGGCGTCCACGATGCACCACGAGTAACCAAGCGTGGATCGTGGGTCGTGAAGTAGCGAGTGGTGGTGGAACTGCATCATGGACGTTGCAATGGGCTTTCAGCAACCACGCCATTGCCCTTGTCCTGGTGGCTTTTGTGAGTCACCGATGTTCCTCGGATCATGTCGGTTCCGCACGCTGTCGTTCGCTCCTCTGTGCACCGCCCCGTTACTCAATGCACCACCCATGGGAGTTGTGGCGTACGCGCATGCCGTGCGCCACGAACAATATACAACTAGCCCACATTGAACAAGGTCGACGCACGGTGTGGAGGACCAGCGGGTCGGCGCTTCCTTCGACCACACTCGTTAACTGGAAATCGTGTGCTGTTCTCTCCCGCCAGTGATTGAAAAGTCGGGCTGTTTGGTTCCCGTCCGCGTCTCTCGCTGTCTATTAGGTTTTGGTAAAAGCCTCACGAAGGCGAGCTACAGTAGTACATATCACCCGTCCCAGAAGCTGTCGCGGAACGTGCTGGTTCGGCGAAAAAGCTCAAAATATTTTTGTTCTCGCTCGGTCAGTATCCAGGTTATGGGACGGACGTTTGTTATTATTCCAGCATATCGGCTGACTCACGACCGCTTGTACGCACCCCAGATCCTGCTGTTTCTTGGTCTGCTGCTGCTATGACAACCGTTCTCGAACTCCGCACCATCACGATATCGCCCACCTACCACGCGTTTCCGTATTGTAGACTTACATGTCATGTACGGCACGATGCCGCCATGAAACCCCTGCCCTCCCGATCACTGTACCCTCCCCCCCCGTTCTCGACAATGCCGAACGCAACAGTGCTGGTGCGGTTATGATTTCACCGGCTACTCCAACGCTGTCGTAGCCGTCTGCGACATGCCCTGCTCGGGCGACTCAAACGAGATTTGTGGAGGCTTCAACAGCAAGAGTGTCTACGAGACCGAAAACATCATTCTGAACACATACCGTGGCTGCTACTCCGACCCCGCCGACAACCGCGTTTTCGTGCAAGACGATTCTTCTGACGCCATGACCGCAGAAGTGAGCGGGAGAGCGATAGATGCGTGAAAGCGGTTGTTTTCGGTTGCGTGTGTTTGTTTAGCTTTGTGCTGACGTGGGCGGCATGCTCTGTGCTAGGGTTTGGAAAAAAAGTGAATATGCCGCTGCATGATTCCCGATGTCGATACCGCGTTGGCATCGCCCGTGAATGGTCAGAGGCTCTCGAAATCGACGCGGAAGTCACCTCACCATCGCTGCAACCAGCCCTCGACGGTGCTCTTGGTTGGCAATGCCCCTAACTACTCCTTTCCCCGTCGTCCTGATGATCGATCATTGGGTTACGAAATGTTCACAGCTCTGTGCGTCGCAATGCTCCGACTCGGCCTTCTTTGGAACGCAGTACTCGACAGAGGTGAGGTCGTTGTCACAGTGTACTACTGTAGTCTCCGACTATGCCATCGGGATGGGTTCGGGTCTGTGAACCTTTCCGCAGTCGCTCTTCTTGCCTCTTGGTGCTCTGTCGCGGTTGATCTGGTATGGCCCTATATCGTGTGTCCCCAAAGGGTGTTCTCAAAAGGGGACAGACATATACCCGGGTCGGGCCGGGTATTAGGGGCGTTTTTGGTTGTTCCTGCTGCCTCCCGTGTTCCGTCACTCGTCCTGACACCACGGCACACATCAATACGCCTTCCTTCATTTTGTCCAAGCGTCAACACCATGAATATGCATCATCTTGCCTCATGAGAAGACCAAACCCCCCTCTCCTCTGTATGTACCACCCTTGTCGCCTCACTGTACCACCCCGTCGAAAACAGTGCTGGTGCGGGGACATCAATGCCCCATACTCGGTCAACGGCGAAGGTGTGTGCGACATGCCCTGCTTGGGTAACTCCGACGAAACCTGTGGGGGGCCCTACAACATGGATGTCTACGCCCACGACCCCGCGTACCTTGGGTGCTTCTCGGACCCAGCCGACGGCCGCATTTTCGAGTGGGAGAGCTCTACCTCCTCTATGACGGCAGAGGTGACTCAATTTTGTTTCCGATCAAAAGTCGTTTCGTCGTTTCCAGCACGCTCACATGCCAACAGGAATAATGCGCAGTCGAAATGTGTGCTTCGTTTTCGTTGTTGCTGTCGTTGTTGCTGCTTTTCTTATTTCCCGACATCGTTTAGTGCTGGTACACAAAGCGTCAAACGTGTTCGCTACCAACACACCCCGACCTTCTCCCTTTTCGATTTGGTCCTCACTTCTTCCCGGCCCCCTACCCGAACAATCGACCATTTCCGGCGCACGCTCGCACATGACCAAACAACCAGGTCTGCGCCTCGCTGTGCAGCGGCTCGGCCTACTATGGAACCCAGTATTCTCAAGAGGTACGGACTCTTCTAGGTTGTCGACCGTTCGTTATGGGGTAGTGTTGCACAAGAAACATGGTCTTAGGAGCGTGTCGAGCGCTCTTGTAGGCCGTGGGTGACAACGGCGGTCAGTGTAACTTGGTTCCGAAGCTTTTGGCAAGGATTGCAGTTGGCGTACTGTAGTTGCTGGCCCATCCTCGATGAATCTCAAATGCCTCAAAGCCGTGCCCAGTCATGATGACGTGCCTGTGCCCTTGAGAATGGAAAACGTGTTGGCTTCACCCAGTCGTACCGTGGCTACTCCAAGTCACCGAGGGACGTACCAGGACCGTTTCTGTGTAGTTTTTCTGCCTTCACTCACCGTCTTTATGCCGACGAAATACGTGCGAAAGGATTGGAAATGATACTTGCAGATGAGTCTGTTTCTGGACAATCAAAGGATGACGAATGGCACGAACGGAGCATCGCCATGATTTAGCGACTTGATTTGATCGTCGCGTTCTCCAGAACCAGTCAGGAGCGCAACCTGTGTGCATTGATTTCGAACATTGCAGCCGCATCTCGGTGCTTTTGTTCTGAAACCGCCACCACTGCCGCATCACCAACCTCACCTGGCTTCGTGCAACACCGTACCTCACCAATGCGGTCCATCTTCAGCATGATGAGACCCGTGCGCTCCTGTTCATACCCCCTTCCATACTGATGCCGCTGCATGAAACAGTGCTGGTGCGGTGACAACGCCGACTACGGTGCCAACGGTTTCGGCGTCTGCGACATGCCCTGCTCGGGCAACTCCGACGAGATGTGTGGTGGTGCCTACACCATGTCGGTGTACCAAGCACTCTAAAATCCCGTCCACGTGTTTGCTTCATCGAGGTATGCAGCCACCACCATTCCCTCAGAAGATAACAAGACGGGCAAACATTTTCTCATGGATAGTAGACGGCAGAACTATACCGCGCGCCTGCAATTGTTTGTAGAAGGTTCCTTCTTCTGCTCGAGCACGACGCGCGGAAGGAAGACCCATGAGTACGGCAAGCAATGTGGTCTAGTAGAGGAATCGTGAACTCCAAAATCTAGCAGGTTGGATAGTCCGTCTAAGCAGCGACAGTCTGATTGGCTGCTGCAGGACAGTAGTCGTATTTCTTGAGTGCTGCCCCTGGCGATGGCGACACTCCGTCGACACAACTCTAGGGATACTGCCCGTGCCTTCAATCCCTCCACCAGCCAGTCAGCATGCCAACGACACCAGCCGCGACGAGCCGGTGAACGTCGGCCCCACAAATCGCGTGTTAGGCGCTAGTGCAGTGCATCATGGAGATTTCCTAGGGTCACGTGACAACGCTCGTAGTGTAGCCCTAACCCTAACCCTAACCCGAAGTGATGCGATTACTTCCGGTTTCTCTGGCAAAAGTGACCTCTAATCATGTACACTAATCCTCGATGCTGCCATGGACTCTTTGTTGTCCGGCAGAAACGTCGCCGACTTCGGGCTGTTCCACAAAACTCGGTGCCCGCACGAGCGAAGCGATAGCCAGTCGTGCTCCTCGACGCACCTAGTGAAGCTCGGTCGGTGTTGGAATATGTGCGACATCAACAAGGGTTACGGATGCACTGCACGAATTGAAGTAGAGGGACAGGTTTCCCAAGATATATCGGCAGCGTAGAGTATGTCGGGCTTTTGGCTCTGGAGGGGTATCGAAAGCACACGCGGAGGAAGGATTGGTGTACAGTTCGACCGGTGCTTGAATGTCGAGTGCTCGGATTGTTCCTGAATAGTTAACGGGCCCGGGATGAGAAGGAAGGTCAAGGTTTTTCACGGACAGTACAGTATACAGAAGTAGAGTAGGAAGCAGCGAAATAGAGGGAGACGAAACACCACAAGGTGGTATCAACATGACGGACTATTGAAGGTGTGTACATGGCAGAATCAAGGGGCAACAATACCTCGAACTACCGGAGATGTGGACGACGGTCGGCGAGGGTCGGTTCGCAATCGCCGCTCTACCTATTCATGCCGGTCAGGTTGTCAACTAGCGCCACCACCAGCAGGGCAATCTTGCAGCATGGCCGTATCCGCCTCGGCTATCATATCTGGAGTGTCGACAGGATGCATGTAGAGCAGTACGAGTATTGTAGTTGGTCCGAAGACCTCATTCGGTGTTGGTGTAGGGAATCGTTGGAGCTGCGGTGGTCGCGTCGAGTAGACGGGCACGTGGAGACTGACGAAAGATCTGCAGGGTATCTGAGCTGGTGCTGCTATGTTCGCTGCAGCCACAGATTCTTGGGGGGTTTCCATTGGAGTGGGAGTGCTGATGTTGCGTGCTTTGAAGCAATTCTGTCGATAGGACATCGCTAACAGTAGGTACTACAGTAGGATACGAAACACGTGTGTGAATGATATGCATCCTCAAAACCCGTTGCGGGTTGTCAGTGCTAGAGTGAGTCCACGTAGGGCGTACATGCGAATCTAACCCGCCCTGCGCTGACCCGAATACCAAGCGAGTACTGTTAAAGAAAGGAGTTGTGTCTCAGGTGTTGTCGCGACCGCACAAACCGTGGGACCTAGATTTTCACTGCCTTTGCGATTGTTTTCTCACGGTGGTGCTGGTCCCTAACGAACAACCTATCGCTTCCAGGACGAGATCTCACATAGAATCCATATGCAATGCTGTCGGAATATAGTTATGTCCAGTACCTGAGCAGGTGTCCCAGTCGCGCGTTGTGCGTCGCTATCCGAGCAATACGATGCGGGTTACATTTTCTACCATGCTGTAGAGGTTGGGGCTCGGTAGGTGAAATACCGTTGACGCGGGGATGGCTCAAGACCGCCCCCTCCGCCCTCTGCCTCCTCCTCAAGACGTTCCTATGGCCTGGGTGACTCAGGTATACGCACCGCGGGCAAACAGACCCCAACGTACAGCACATCACAGTTGACCGGAAGGCCATTAGTGCAAGCAGCCCTTTGACCCCCGGGGCTGACTATCTGAGGTTCTGTAGAAAGGTTTCGCCGTCCAGACTGGC